TAATGCAAGAACTGGATGAAGAACAGGACTCCAGATACTCCCCGTACCTAATAGACTCCTGTTTTTCCTCAGATGTTATATATTTATGTACTGTTTCTGATGAGTCTTGCCTCTAGCTACTTTCCCTTGACACATCAGTATGTCCCACAAGTTTTACAAGCCTACTTCTCTTCCAGCTCATCATTCTGCTGCTCTTTCTTCATTCATGGGCTGGGAATTTTATTAACCAACCCATTTCTCCTGAAACCCTTGCTTACAACTCAGGCTCATTGCTGCAGTGTTTCATGGTGTTGCACTGTGGCAATGTAGGCTCAACAGGCAGACATTAGATCATTATTCACATGTAAAAATATTCAAGTGCATGCAATTTCAAGAGTTTAAGGTGGCTGCAAGACCTGTGCAATCTATTCTCAAGTAGACACTTAATTACAGGAAACTCTCCAGACGTAATACACAAAGGTGAGGCATTTACTCTTCATAGTTTATTGTTAAAAATGTCATAAATACATACATAGTTATAGATATAGATAGATATACAGTACAACTGCTATCCTTGGCACCAAGGAACACACTCCTTTCCCATTCCCAGCCAACTGTACTCCTGCTGAGCCAACAGCTTGGCCTGACCTTGTGTCCCATGATCCTGCCTTGTGCAGGAATTATCTCCCTCAAGGCCCTCCTGTTTGTAAACTTCCTTGGGAACTGTAGAAATAATCAAAATTACTCTGATGACTTTCAATACTGCAACACTCTGGATGTAATTTAAAGGCATGACAACTCTTGGTTTCATTTAACACGTCTAAGTCAAGACTTTTTTTACTAGTAGAAGACTACCTATAGCTATGCTGGCAAAGAACATAGCCTATCAATCTTATATTGTATACAAGTCAAGCATGAGCATGAAACCTGCTAGTTAAATGGGAAGTGCACTCTTTTATACGTATTTTCAAGGTTACTCTACCAAATCATCGACACAGAATTTGTACAGTTCCCTTCTCACGCGTTAGTGCACGGAGAAGAATAGAATGGGAACTCATTCTAATCTTGAATATTGAAGCACAGATCCTTTCTTAACTAATCTGTAGGAACTGTGCCAAGAAAACTTAAATTTTGAGTTTGGTACATTGCTGCACCATGAAAATGTAAAAGTTCCCTTCCACTATGTTGCTTTTTTAAAATTACCAAGCACCATCTCCTATATACCTTCCTGTGCGGCACCTCCATAGAAAGTTCCACAGAAATCAGTTGCAAAAACACCAGTGACACAGTCGACATTAACAACTCACTTAAGATTACAGAGTTGGTAATTGAGTCTGTATGCTGTTCTGAACATATTTTTAGAGAGAAATACCAATATCTTTGAGTACTCCAGCAACTGGGGGGGGACACTATCAAAAATGAAAAAGGCTCTACCAATTCCAAATTTGTTACTCCATATAAATGCAAACAGTGGTAAATTAAATTACTTCTGACAATTTAATTACCTTTCTAACCATGCTTGAATACTATTCAAAGTCCTGAATAAAGCAGTTTCTCACACGAAAATAGTGACTCGTGCATATATAAGCAAATTAATTACTCAAAATTACTACATTGCAGTCCTTAGAGCTGTGCCATGTATTTTTTTTTAGAAATACTTGGGTATGAAAGATATATGTATTACAGAAGTTTAGCAATTTTTACCAAAAATGTGGCTTTCTTCCCATCATTTTTTCTGTTGAGACATTCTAGTTGTCCAGTCAGACAGCAAAAGCAATGTGATCATCACATGCCAGGAATTATGAATAACAAATAGCAAATCATAGAACCATAGAATCATAGAATGGCTTGGGTTGGAAGTGACTCCGAAGATCATAAGTTCCAACCCCACCTGCCAAAGGCAGGGTTGCCAGCTGACAGATTAAGTATTAGATCAGGTTGCCCAGGGCCCCATCCAACCTGGCCTTAAAAACCTTGAGAGAAAGGGCATCCACAGTCTCCCTGGGCAACATGATCTAGCACCTTACCACTCAGTAAAAAATTCGCCCCTTACATCTAACCTAAATCTCCCTTCCTTTAGTTTAAATCCATTCCCCCTTGTCCTATCACTATTTACCCATGTAAAAAGTTTATTTCCTTCAGGTTTATAAAGTCCCTTTAAATATTGGACAGCTGCAATGAGGTCTTCTCAGATTCTTGTCTTCTCCAGGCTGAACAAGTCCAGCTCCCTCAGCCTATCTTCATAGGAGAGATGCTCCAGCCTCTGACCATCTCCATGGCCCTTCTCTGGACCCTCTCCAGCAGCTTCTCATCTTTCCTGTATTGGCCCCACACATGCATGCAGATGAGGCCTCATGAGGGCAGAATGCTGGGCTACTTTCACTTCCCTCGCCCTGCAGGGACCCCTCTTCTGATGAAAGCCCTGATACCATTGACCTTTCCAGGCTGCAAGTACACACTTCTGGCTCATTTTAGGTTTTTCATGAACCAGGATCCCTAACTCCTTCTCAGACAGGCTACTCTCAAGGATTTATTTTCCCAATTTGTATACATATCTGGGATTACCTCAACCGCAGTGCAAAACCTTGCACTTTGCTTTGTTGAACCTCATTAGGTTCACAAGGGTCCATCTTTCAAGATCCTTCTGGATGGCAACCCTTCCTTCTGCTGTATCAGCTGCAATTGTAGCAGATGAAGCGCCATCCCTGTAAAAATTGTTCACTCAAACTATTTGCTGAATGCTTATGCATAATATATACATTCACAGACTTCAAGGATGATTCACTTTTGACTTGTGAATAAAGAAGCAAGACTAAATTAATCATGTTTCCAATTCACTTAATAAAATTAAGATCTGCCAAAATATTTCTGTTTGATTTATAAAGCTCTTAGGGTATCGTTTTTACAAGATTATTACTCAAGACACTACCTCTTTACTTCTGCTGCATCACAGAAGGAGATACTGTGTGGCTTTCTGGAACAGACTGACACTACTGCGTATCATTTTTAGTGAGAATATTTTCATTGACAGGGCCAGTAAAGCAGCATGTGCTCCCCCAGTTAGTCTGCAAGAGTTTGAGGCCAATTTATTTAGCCTAATTCTTATCTTGGGACAGACAGCAAGAATTTATATTAGTTTGTTCTGGAGTCTTTTTTTCTTTCTTTTTCCTTATACCTGTATCTTATTCTACAAACTTTGTGACCTATACATTTGAACAGCTTACCAAAGTAAAACAAAACAGAGACAAAGGTCAACTTTTCTAATGCTTTCTAAAACACAGGACCAAGTATCAAAATGGCTGAGGTGACAGATGAAAATTAATTTAGACAGTTTGTGTTTGTTAATGCTGAAATATCACTCCAAGCCATACAAAGCACACCCAGATGACTGCTGTCTTCCTTTATACGACTACGTTGAGGTCAATACAGCTGGGAACAAATTATGAGAAACCTTGCCAAGAGCTTATCACACAACAAACTGTCAGAAATGGACAATAAATAAAATATATTTGTGAAGGGATTCAGAGAGAAATAGTAAAGATTGTTATATACCTAAAAGATAGTAATGGAGAAACAGTTATTTCTTACAACTAAAGTCTGAGATGTCAGAAAACTAGAGTGCCCACACATTTGCTGGCCTTTCACTAAAAAATGGTTAGAATCATTACAGTCATAGAATTCCTCAGGTTGGAAAAGACCTTAAAGATCATCAAGTCCAACCACAACGTAACCATGCTACCCTAACCCTAAAAACCTTCTGCTAAATCATGTCTCTGAGCACCACATCCAAATGGTTTTTAAACACATTCAGGGATGGTTATTCAAGCACCTCCCTGGGGAGCCTATTCCAGTGCTTAACTACCCATTCTGTAAATAAGCTTTTCCCAATATCCAAACTAAACGTCCCCTTGGGCAACTTGAAGCCATTTCCCCTCATCCTGTCACCTGTTGCCAGCGAGAAGAGACCAACCCCACTCTCGCTGCAATCACCTCTCAGGTGTTTGAAGAGAGCAATAAGGTCTCCCCTCAGCCTCCTCTTTCTCAGACTAAACAGCCCCAGTTCCTTCAGTCACCCCTCATAGGGCATATTCTCCAAGCCCTTCACAAGCCTTGTTGCCCTTCTTTGAACCTGCTCCAGCACCTCAGTGTCCTTTCTGTACTGAAGTGCCCAAAACTGAACACAGTACTCAAGGTGGGGCCTCACCAGTGCTGAGTACAGGGGCAGGATTTTTCTCCCTAGTCCTGCTCACCTCACCATTTGCGATGCAAGCCAGGATGCCACCGGCCTTCTTGGCCACCTGGGCACACGGTTGGCTCACTACTGATCAGCACAACTGCAGATCACTTTTAAGGTTAAGAGTTCTGTATTCAGGGTGACAATTCAAATTCAATTCAGGGAGTCACCTTCGTCCCTCAGTCACCCTCCTGACACCCCCATCTCCACTGGGACCATCTGTGAAGGATATGTGTCCCAGGCAGGGTGGGAGCAGCTGTGGCATGAAAACTTCCAGAAATATACGAGTTTTCAAACCGTTAATCCATTAAGAATGTTTAGTCAGCAGCAATAAATTACAAGGAAACTTCATATGTGGAAATACAACATTCCATTTAGCAAAGTTGTCTCAATGCATTTTAAGTCTTCTTTCAGACTTCTTTAATTTAATAACAATTTGTTAATGTAGTTATTAGAGAAAGTGTCAAGCCAGTATAGAAAATAATAAATTCTATTCTTCTACCAGTATGAGTAGAAGACAATGGATCTGGCCCAGGATCCAACGAGTAGGAAGTTTGGCCTTCCTGATTTCCAAATTGTATTTTGGCATGCATTCCTGAAGTGTCTCTGAAATAAATTTAAGGTTGAAGTTTGCAATACTAACCTAAGTGTGAAAAAAAAACAAACAACAACAACAACAACAAAACACCACAAATTGCATGTCATATGACTAAATCCAAATAATTGATGTGTTTAGAGACTGATGTTTACTTTTAGTTGGTTTTTTGTTGGTTTTTTTTGTACTTACTGCTTTATATGTTCTCTTCTGTCCAGCATGTTTTCTGATTTGTTCTCCATTAGGCCCAGTTTCAACATGCATGGAATAGATAATGTCAAAGAAATCTTCTACTACGGCTACCCGCCGTAAAGACAGCTTCTCATCTACACCTACTCCATCCTGTAAAGTAAAAAGAGAGAAGAAAAAAGATAAGGAGAGGATAAATAGGTAAATGGTGATCATTACGAGACACATTCTCCTTTTGTGACAGCAAGTTAAGGACCCTGCCATTGGGAACTGAAGGTCACCCACTCAGTGTATGTATGACAGGAAGACTAATGTAAAAAAGCTATATTATCAGAAGGATCGGATCATACGACACCACTCCCTGCAATCAGCTCATTTTGCCAGGCCAGGACACTTAGACTCTTGACAGTGATCTTTCACTCCAGTATTATAAAAATGAAACAAAAAGTACCCATGCTTCTTTCTCCAAATGCACAAACAACATTCAAAGGCATTCTGTACCACGTGGTACAGAAATGCATTATGTGGCTGTTAATAAGAATCAAAGTGCTTTTATCCTCTCATTTCCCTCCCAGTAAATCTGTACCTAGCATCTCATAAAGGTATTTAATAAAGGGTTCTAATTTGCAGGTGACAGAGCTGACTGTAATTATGAATACAAAGGAAGTTGTTACAAACAATTTACTGCCAGAAAATCTGCTTGAAGATACACTACAAGAAGACATACCACAATATAAGGAAAAGAAAGGGATATTTTGGGGTTTTTTTGTTTGTTTGTTTGTTTTGTTTTTTTTACTCAGAGGTCAGATTGGTATGAGGGACAGAAAAGTGAAGACACTATCACACAGTTTCTAAGCTGAAGACTTCTAAACAGAGAGAAGCCCCAGTGGCTCTGAAATTAATTACTACCTTTCAATTCAAGCCTTTAAATAGGACCATCCATAAGGGCTGGGTTTTTTTTCACAGCTGTCTATGGATTCAGTTCTAATGAAGAGGCAGGAGCTGGCACTCTTGGTTTTGTAGGGCAGGCAGCTATCAAGCAGGCTATGTTTTGTAATACAAGGTAAGTATAGGAGGAATAAAATGAGAATGGCCCATTCACTTGCAATCCATCACAATCTTTAAAGTTAGATCTCAGAAGGCAACAATGTCACTTAACCTTCAAAACCTAACACATTTGATAATGTCATTACTGCTGCTGTAAGTCATGCCACCAAAAAAAAACCAAACCAACCCTGATTTACATTCACCCTTTTGTAACAAAGCAAATGAAATTACTGCTGTTGTGACCAAATACAGACAAAAGATGAGAAATGAAAATACAACAATTGCATACAATTCCAAGTTGCTGCCCCCACTCTAATAACTTCCTGGTAATCCATTCCAGTAAGTTTGCTGGATGTGGACAACCACTATTTTTTTTCCTCACCATTTTATTCCAGCCCACATACTTTTATTTTTCACAAAGTTCATAGAAAGAACCTAAATAATCCCAATGGCTTCAAAGGATCTCCAGGGTGGCAATGGGGCACTGACACATCACTAGCAATGATAGATAAAATATCAGTATCTCTACAGCATAGCTTTCTGCAAGTGCCTGATGGTATCAGATTAGGTGATGTTGATACTTTGCAAGCTTGTGCTGTCCTTTTCCATCATGCCCCTGCTCTTCCCACCACTCTTCAAAGAAGTCCCCTGCCCAAAGCTAGATAATTTCTACCATCCATTCAGCAGTCTGTGCTCCCTGTCTCAGGAAAGCTGGAATGGAGCAGAACTCCCTGACATGCATGTTAAGAAGATTTCCATAGTCCTGCAAAGAAGAGTGGCAGATGTGACTGTGTTGAGGATGGAGGAAAGGTGAGGAATTTACAGTCTCCACCAAAGATTAAATCCTCAGAGAGATCAGCTGGGAAGAAGAGCTCAGAGACAGTAGAGATGCTCCCATCCCTGAGAAGTCCCTAAAATTTCACTAACCACCTGCTCAAAAATTTTGTGGCATCATGCCAGGTTCTGGTATCAGCAGCATTAAGAATTTTCTTTGTATTGCTCTTCATTGCTGTGTGTTATTTAAAAAAAAAATAAAAAATGTTTTAAAGATGGGGCCAAGACAAAATCAAGATTTTTGCTGCTTTAATCTTTAGGGGAATTCACATGTGAGTTCTGCAGGGGGCCCATCCCTCTATCATTATTCTCACACCACCCAAATGGCTCAGTGGGATTCCTAATGATTTCAAATGCTCTTATTATGACGACAGTGTTATCTCACACCGCTCTCAGAGCTGTCAGAAGTTTGTAGTGTTGATTAACTGATAAAGATTTTATCTGCTTATTACTAATGAGTTTTGTTTTAGGAAACTTCCTATGGGGGAGCTCTCTTTTTTAATTAAAGAAAAATCCATTACAAGAATATTAATTTAAAACCTGAGATGCTATATCAGCAAAGCTGACACATACAAACATTAGGTATATATTCAAAGAAGAACCTCAAAATGGAAATTCTTTCTGCTGTTGTTGATGGCCGTAAGTGTAAGGTGTTCTTTTTTGGCAGTCCCCCTGCCCCTCCTTCACTGGTCTGTGAGACCCAAAGAGAGGTAAGCATGATATGAGTGTTCTTCAGATTACATTTCATTCAGCTGACTATCGCAGTAAGCATCACTGCAACTTTTTAAAATACAAGGAAGTAAGATCTGCACAAACTCTTTGTCATGCCCTTTAACTGAAATGCCAGAAAATGAATACAAACTTTGAAGATCTTGTCAGTCAGAAGTGATAGGAAAAAAAATGGTGTACGCAGAGTGGAAACTTCTTCAGGAGAGACAACACTATCACTTAGCAGTTACACTTGTTTTTCATCGTAAATGAATCTGGTTGGAGCTGGTCAGCGAATTGGTCAGGATTCATTCTGCATAGTGCTGCATAAGGTGATAAGGCAGACCTTATTTCAGAAAGCCTGCAGTGTTAAAAAAGGTGCTGAATTGCCAGGAGCAAGCTGTTAAGTACATCTGGCAGTGCTCTGCAGAGACGTAAGCTCTAACTGCAATACACCAGATAAGTAACCTGAATGAGAATGAGATAGCTATTTACTAAGACTTTAGATATCCCAGCACTGACATTTCAGCAAGCAAAAATCTGGGCAAGTGTTACAACCCCAGACCTCCATATCAACCATAATGTCTCTGAAGTGGACGCAGTTGTATTGGACTTTCCCATCACATGCCATTACATTACACTTTTATCCTGAAATTGCTATTTGATAAAGGCATTAACAAAGCAGTTCTTTATAAGCTGGCTTTGGGTAAAATTTTCACAGTGCCTAAGGGGAAATTTTTTAGCCTCAACTAAGTCTAAAAAGAGACAAATGGGGGAATACATGATAATGCTATTCAGATGTCTGAAAGGCTATGAAATGTCCACAAGGGACAGGACAAGTAATAGGCTTAAACCACAGCAAGGGAGATTTACATTACACATTAGGAAAAGCTCACTATTGATGTGGATAGTCAAGTACAGTAATAGTTTGCCTGGGGAGGTTTGGGAATCTCTGTCACAGGAGGATTTTGAGACCAGGTTAGGAAAGTATCTGTCAGGAACAGTTTGAGTAAATCCTCTCTTGGATAGAACCAGATATTAATTGAGTCCCTTCTTGATAACTCAATAACTGAGAAGCTCAAAGATCATTTTCAAAGTTATAAGAGGACTAACAGCTCTAGGAGAGCAGGAAAGATATTTATAAATCACTGGGGTATTTTTAGGCATCTTTTTTATCATGGCAAGAACTCAAGTTCCACTCTTGGAGTTGACTTGGGGATAGATGTTCCACTACATGTTTCTTTTCAAAAATTGGACTTAGACTCTTAAATTTATTAGGTTGACTGTCATCCCATTTGTTTCAGCTATCACAGAAGTATGTCCTTACTTTAAATCAGTTGTCTCACATTCCTCTCTGGTCAACAGTGTGACAATCACTACAAAGCACAATTCATCCTTACAGGAACTGAAACAGTTTCAATCTCTACCACAGCAGAGTTACTTAATTTTACTCTTTGCATTGCAGATCTCATTTATGTTTATTCCTATGATCTTCCTATGTGCTTAGGATATAAATAAATAGACGTTCCTTTTCATTTTCAGCCCTACAAATTGAATGTGCAATCTGAGATTAAAGTTGTTCAATTTTGTTTAGATATGTACACGAAGAGTACTCTAATACACTTCTGGACAGTACTGATTTTACTGACAGTTATGCACCTCTCAAAAACTGCTGAGCATCCCTTTGAACAGTGATGCTTGAGGAGAGAGTCAGTCTCCTACATTAAGACAGGACCTGCAGGGCTAGCAAGAGTAAAGAGAAAAAAGGTTGCCAATGATCCAAAACTCCTAGCAAAGAAATCAAAAAGATCTATTAAATGATTGAATAAATAAATAAATAAATAGAACCCAGAAAGCAGTCGTTTTAGCAGTTAGCTGAATAAAAAAAGCCTTTAAAACTAAAGCTGACCAAAAAAAGGTTCTTGCTGTTTCTTGCTTGAGAACACCTGCTACGTCTCGTGTTGAAGTTTCTTGGGGGAAATAGGACACATAAAACATCCTCTTGCTTCATGAATGACTATAACTATCAGCATCTTTACAATGTTTGAAAAATATTCCTATAAAAATGTGACAGAAGGAAATAGCAAATAAAAGAATAGGCTTGGTTGGTAGTTCTATAAAAAATGCTCAAATCTATAAAAACTTCTGATGTAAACACATCAATGCCAGAAGCATCTACAAAACTTTAGGGGTAGATGGAAATAACAATCAACCTAAATATTTTGTCACATTACATAAGTCACAAGCAAATACAAGACCACTTTGATTGCTGCAATATTTGTATAACAATTTTCTGGAATATACCAGTTTGGATTATAGAGAACATAAAGCACATTCATGCCATCATATCTCAGCTGACTATCACGCTTTTTTGCTGTCTTTCACATTTTCACTGGACAGAAAGCAAAGTCTTTTGCTGACTGAAGCCCTGTACCCTGAATGCTTTATATGACCTTACAAAATGTTTTGCATGTTACCCAGCCACCTTGATAGATTATGCACAAGAAACTCCTGACATGATGGTAGGCTGGTGTTTCATTATTTTTGTAGCAAACACTAGCAAT